CTTCATTGTTTGGGATTAAAGGTATGTACTAAGGGCGTATGTATTCCAGCCAGACCAAATTGCAATCCACAGTGTGTCTGCATTCCAGCCAGATCACATAGACCTAGAAGGCCTTTGGATGTGATCTCTTGCCAGAGAAGCCATGTTGCTGGATTAAAATTTCTCTGCAAGTCCTGAAGCCAGAAGACCTGGGCTCACATCTTTACTTTACCACTTACAAGCTGTGAAGTGAGGCAAGTTGCTTTACCCCTCTGTGCTTCACATCGAAGAGATGGGGCTAAAATGGTGCCTGACCCCGTAGACTATTGGTGTGAGAATTAAAGAGGCTAATAGGGGCCTAAGGAGTGGCTGGGAGACAGTAAGACTGATAAAAGCAGTAGCTGCTGTTTTGCCACTCACACACCTGGCAGGATTCCCTGTATGGCTCTGGAATTCCACTTGAGGCGACTGTGCTCTTGGCACAAGGCCAAGGATGTTGTGGGGTCCAGCTAGGGCAGAAGCAGCTTCCTCTGCAAGGGAAAGAGAAAAATAAAGGGTCTTTTCCAAGCGTGGTGGGACACACGTTAAGCCTAGCATCCAGGAAGCAGAAGCAGGTGGATCTCTGTGAATTCGAGGCCCCCCACACACACTGTCTCAAATGAGGAGCTGGAGGGAGGAAGGGCACCATCAGGAGGAGGGGGAGAGCCAGAGCAGTAGCCAGCAGGGGGCGAAAACGCTCCTCTCCCTGGTCTCTGGTCTGGAGATCATTTGGGCATCCCACCCTGAGCTTTTTGGGCCTCTCCACGGGCTGTTTGGAGAAGTCTGTTATTTGTAGAAAAGTCTTACCTGCTGTTTGCCACAAGGTGGCGCTGTGGCTTGTCACCAGGAGACCTTGCCTGGCGCACTGTCCTGAATCTCCTTTTTGGAGGAAGCAGGCAGGAGGGGGTCAGCTTCCTTATAACCATTTGGGGGAAGTCTGGGGTTTGCGGCAGGCAGAATTTTTGCCCCAGGGCCTCTACTATCAACATTACTCTTTGGGCAGTTATCTTACTCGGCAAAAGAGACCTTGCAGGTGATGCTAAAGTTTCTGGCCAGCTCACCTGAACACAGGAAGGTCATGAAGCCTCCACATGAGCCCCTGGAAACAAAGGAGGAAGGCAGAGGAATCAGAAGCACCAGAAAATTCCAGGTGCCATGACTGGCCTTTAAGCTGGAGGACTCTCAAAAGAACGAATTGAGCTGTGCTGACTTCCTGTGCTTGGAAGATAACCTCTCACCCCGGGAACTGCCAGCCTCGGGAGACCCCAGTTATACAGTTCTGACTTTCCAGGGCTTCCTTCCCTCGAAGATGCAGGACAGTACACTGGTATTTTTAAGCTACTAGCTTTGTGGACATTCATAATAAAGCGATAGAAAACTAACAAACAGCATCCCCATGACAAAACATGTGGGAAAAAAAAAAATCAGCTTAGAGAACCAGAATGGTGGCAGCTATTATGGCAGGAGAGGCTAAGATGGAACGAACAGAGGATCAAGGCTAACCTGGGCTACAAGGGAGGGACCATCTTGAAAGGGGTGAGAAAGATGGTTTATTTGGCTCCTAATGTCAGAGTTTGGGGTTCATAGACATTCAGCCAGTTGCTGTGTATGTATGGTGGCCAAGCACCTCATGGTGGCAGGGGAACGGCTACAGGCTGTTTATTTCATGAAGAATGGGAAGCAGAGACAGGAAAGGGTGAGGTCCCTATATTCCCTTCACAGTGATTTCCACAATGACCCAGCTTCCTCTTACTAAGCTCCACCCCCAATGTCCTTGCACACTGGCCCCCAAGCCTCTAAGCTCAGAACCCTAACAATCCCATTTTATCCAAATGAGAGGTTTGGAGCTCAGGCAGGGAGAGGTCAGTGACAGCTCCTGTGTTTGAAGCCAAGTCTTCTAACTCTGGAGCCAATGTTATTGTTTCCCTATTTGGCCCCTCAAATGAGGAAACTGAGGCATTTTGGGGCATTGCCAGTACCAGCTATCTAGAATCCAAGCACAGAGGGTGACCCAGTCTGTGGGTCTGAGGAACCCCAGAAGCCCCTGCTCTGCAGGCATCTCCTCAGTCCACCCACCTGAATTGCCCTTAGGGCCCTCAGGTCTCAGCCTAGCCTCCAAAGCCTCCAGTTAAGAGGCACTGCCCTCCCTGCAGAGTCTAGTGGACCCGACCCAGCTGTGATGAGGCCAGGCAGCGAGTTTCTAAGAGACAAGGGCAGGGATGCCCCAAGAATCCACCCAAAGCTGTCTTCACAGCCCAGGACAACAGGAAGTTAGCCAAACATGGGAAGGGCCCTGGAGGGCCCAAGCTTAGAAGAGGGTTCCTGGGGCCACACAGGGATGGGCAGCTGGCCGCTGAGGCCCTCTCAGCCCCGAGAGAGTCTACTTCATGTCCTGACTTCTCTGCTCCACACCAGGAATGAGTAGGGGCAGAGGGGCAGAGGGGCAGAGTGGGAGCCAGATCAGACACAGTTCAAAGCTGCGCAGGTTGACAGTGCTTAAAACACCAAACCCAGACCCAGACCCCTGTCTTCCTATCTCATGGTGAGTACTGAGTGGCTACCCTGTCCTCTGGTAGAACACGAGCCTCCATGGAACCCTTCACCCTCCCCTGAGATGCCTGCCTGGCTCTGGACACACTCAAGTTCCCAGCCCTGTGTCTGCGAACAGCTGTGGCCCAGTTTGGCCAAGACTGTTCATTTATCTGCATGCATCCAGTTCTCTACCCGATACCAAGTCCACTGCCAGAGAGAAGGACCAAACCTTGCCTTGACCTCAGCCTTCTAAAACAAGGCCCTGCAGCAGACTGGGAGGCACTCTGCTCCCTTCGTGTGAGTCAAAGCCCTGCAGTGGAAGAGACCAGAGATGGGGAGCAAAAGGGGAGGGAGGTGGAAAATTAAAATTTGCGTGATCAGCAAGGTTTCAAACAATCGCTCGCCAACTGAAGTGGGTGCCACGTGTATAAGTCATTCTGTTTTATAGACCATTAGGGTCTCCAGAGGGAATCTGCATAGAGACCAGTGCTTTCTGTTGAAATTAAAATGTCAGAGAAAAAGAAATAGAACAAAACAGGGAATCTGCAATTAATTACCAGGCCATAAAAATTCAATAATCAGGAGGCAGAGCGGCCGCAGGCCCAGCGGTATCAGAGCCAGCGTAACAGGAATGGAAGGCATTAATCTTTTCAAATTAGTTTTTTAATCTGACGGGGATATATGGCAACATGGCTCCCTCCTTGCCTGCTTCCCCCACCTCCACCGATCCTGCCTGAAGCCAGGTTGGGGAGGAGGGCTGTAGTGTGCACTGAGAATCTGCAGGCCACCCAGATCCCCAGATATCGGGCAGAGGGCTCCAGCTAAGGTCAGGGACCCTGTGCCACACACTGGCTGGAGGTGCCTAGATCTTCTTCCCGGCTTGTTCCCACTGTGTGTCCCAGGGAAGTACTGATGAAAACGGTGGAAATTTAGTTGGGCAAGGAAGCTGAGCAGTGAGCTTGGAGAGATGACCAGTTCAGGCTTTTCCTTCCCTTCTCTTGAAAATGGGTACAATAGCTGCTTCCAGGGAAGCCGGGCACCTGGTACCCAGGAGGTGCTCAGCAAAGGTTTCCATTGCCATGTTTTTACGACTGGCTGCTGTATGGCACTGTCCGGACACCATTCAGAATTCGTACATTTAGTGCCTGCTGTGTGCCCAGCCCTAAAGGAACTTCCATTTCCTCGCTCCTTGCCTAGAGAACATGACATTTTCAGTACTGAGAGGGACATCAGAGTCAGTGAAGAAGAGCTTGTCCTGGGGCAGTTTCAGGAGCAGTAGAAGCAGCTGTGACTCCACCACCATCTCGACAAAGCAAGTTCCTCTTCTGTCTGTCTGAGCCCCGAACAGATGCTGACAGGTCAAGAAGCCAGTCTACCCTGATTGTGATTGGGAAGCCAGGCTATCTGGTCCAGGAGCCCTTTTCCCAGGATGCCAGCTGCTTGGTTCTAATTGGCCAGGCCTAGGGCCTCTCCCTGATACTGTACCAGTTTACCTGCCTTCGGAGGGTCTCCCGGCCTGGCCAGTGTCATTAAGAAACAGGCTTCAGCCGGGCATGGTGGTGCACGCCTGTAATCCCAGCACTCAGGGAGGCTGAGGCAGAAGGATCTCTGTGAGTTCAAGGTGAGCCTGATAAACAAATCGAGTCCAGGACAGCGAAGGCTATACAGAGAAACCCTGTCTCGAAAAACAAAACAAAACAGAAGAAGAAAAGAAAAGAGACAGGCTTCCAGGGCAATTGCGTCAGGGGCCCTGCGGGTTCTAACTCTTTTAAAGATAGCACTAGGCCTGTGGTGTGGTTAAGGGACCCTGTGCCCACGGTTTCCCCCCCAGAACTCCGTCAGGTGCTGTGAAGACTAGCAATGACTTCGTTGTATAGGAAAAGGGATAGTAACATTTGGGCTGCCTACCAGTCCAAGCCACAAACCACCACCGCCACCTTTCGCCTTTACATGAGTTCAGCATTCAGTAGGTACTCAATAGATGCCTAGGGAGTACGGTTCTGCTGCTGCCTGTCAAGATGTCACCGCCTCACAGTAGGTGCTCAATAGCGCCTACTATGTTCGGGGAATCAGGTGCCTTTCGAGGGAAGAATGTAATCCCTGCTTTACGGAAAGAAAATCGAGACTTGGAAAGACAGACGGGCACAAACTGCTACAGCCAGCACCCCAGCTGCTAAGGAACCCACTAATAAAGCGTCTCCAAATCAGGTCCTTGGCTCCTTCAACTTGAGCACCTCTCCAGGAAGCGTGTCCTCCTCAAGTCTCTCTGGACTCCTCCATTGGCCACACTGTCACTTTATCCCTCTTCCTTCGCTCACGTGTGGAAGCTAGGAGGGGCGAGTACGCTGTGGACACAGCAGGACCCCCAGGCGCGGAGCTGGCTTCCCCGCCCGAAGCAGTTCCGCATGTGGCCACCGGGTGGCCAGCGGTTTTTTTCTTTTTTTCCGCCTGGCCTTGCAATACGGCGACATGTCACCAGATGGTGCCCGAGGCCGCGGCTCTGAAGGGCAGGGCCTGGACCCGGTGGAGTCCTGCCGGCGCCCTGGTCCGGTCCCGTCCCTGCCACTCCAGCACACGTGACCTTCGCCGCCCGCTGCTAATCCGCGTCATGGCCCAGCGCGTACCGCGGCTGTCTGTTCCCGCCGCGCTGGCTCTGGGCTCGGCCGCGCTGGGCGCCGCCTTCGCCGCCGGGCTCCTGCTAGGTGAGCGGGGTTGGAGCGCGGCGGCCCCGGGCTGCAGGGCGCGGAGCGAGCCTGGCACCCGCGCGGAACGCCAGGCCCGACTCGGCGCCCTCTCCCCGGCAGGGAAACGGTGGCCGCTTTGGGGGTCCGGGCGACAACAGCGACTGCTGCCCCCCGAAGACCATCCCCTGTGGCAGTATCTGCTGAGCCGCTCCATGCGCGAGCACCCGGCGCTGCGGACCCTGCGCCTGGTCAGTAGGACGGGGGCTGGCGACGTGCTCCGCATGCCCAGCGTGGTGGCTCTCACGTGTTGTGTGATCTCGGGAGAGGCAGAAGCCCTCTCCGGGTTTCCGGGCTCCCTGCCGCCTGTCCCCTCTAGGCCACACCCGCCACCGAGCTCCTAGAGTTCAAAACCTGGGCGAGGGCTGGGTGACTGGCGGGAATGGCACAGTCCTCTCCCTATACACAGCTGACACTGGAGCAGCCGCAGGGGGACTCCATGATGACCTGTGAACAGGCCCAGCTTCTGGCCAACCTGGCGCGGCTCATCAAGGCCAAGAAAGCTCTGGACCTGGGTAGGGGCGCGCCGCCAGGGTCTCTGAGAACCTGGGTCACGGGGCCACCCTGCACCCTGGGCTGAGCTTGTGGCTGCCCGGTTCACAGGTACTTTCACGGGCTACTCGGCCCTGGCGCTAGCCTTGGCTCTTCCCGACGCTGGCCGCGTGGTTACCTGCGAGGTGAACGCGGAGCCCCCGGAGCTGGGGCGGCCCCTGTGGAGGCAGGTGAGTCCCACGTGCGGCCGGGGGCTGCGGGCTCGGGGGCGTGCGGGCCTGACCAGCCCCCTTCCGCAGGCGGAGGTGGAGCAGAAGATCGACCTTCGGCTGCAGCCCGCCTTGCAGACTTTGGGTGAGCACCGGCGCGGGAGGCCCTGCCTGCGCTGTCCACCCCGGGGAACAGAACGGGCGACCCCGAGCGGCCTGCCTTGGGCAGGGCTTCTGGCCCCCGGGACCGCCGCTCAGCTGCACCTGCCCTCTGTCCCCGTAAGATGAGCTTCTGGCGGCGGGCGAGGCCGGAACCTTCGACGTAGCGGTGGTGGACGCGGACAAGGAGAACTGCGCTGCCTACTACGAGCGCTGTCTGCAGCTGCTGCGCCCCGGAGGCGTGCTCGCGGTGCTCAGAGTAAGGAAAAGCAGAAGACCGCTCTCGCTGGGCTAGTCTCCCTTGGCCCCGCCCCTCACGCCCCGCCCCTCCCGGCTCCTGGCTGCCACTCCCGCTTCCATAGCCCCGCCCTCCCCGTACAGGTCCTGTGGGGCGGAGAGGTGCTGCAGCATCAGCCTAGGAACAAGGCTGCTGAGTGCGTGAGGAACCTGAACGAACGCATCCTGCGGGACGCCAGGGTCTACATCAGCCTCCTGCCCCTGGATGATGGGCTCTCCTTGGCCTTCAAGATCTAGGGTTAATCCCAATCTTAGGGCGTGGGTGAAAGAACCTGAGAATCCCCGACAGCGACCCGAGTTCTTAAAGCTGACAATAAAGGGACTGGGAAACACGATCTTCTGAGCATCCATATCCGGTGTTCATTAGGATAGTTCCCTGCAGGAACACAGCTTTTCTAGTAAAGCTATCTCCCTGGCACCAAGGCCTGTGGCCTATTTGATGGGATAGTTTTAACAGACCCTTCCAGCTGTACACACTGGGTGGAGTTCCAACAGGCTCTAACTTGTCTCCTGCCTTCCAGTCACATGCCACAGGTGCAAGGTCCTGGAGAGACCGCACCTTGTCAAGATAGGAGACCTGCAGGACACCAACCTCATGATGAGTGCTTTTGTAGCTAAGTCGGGCTTGCTGGCAAGCCTACCCATGCTTCCCCCGGTCTGTTGCCTCCCCCGCCTTACCTGTGCAATGCAAGCCCTGATCGGTGGCCATCACCCAGGAACCAACCCTCTTGGCCCAAACCTGAGGATCTGAGGTTGGCTTATATTTCTGTCCCCAAGTCCTGAGGAAACTGATGCACTGAGCCACGAGGAAAGGCAGCAGGCTACCCAGAGGCCACAGTGCAGTGACATGCACCATTTCTATGCGGTAAGTCCCAAAGCCATCCACTATCCACTCACTACCGTAGCTGTCCTCACAAGCTTCCAACTGAACTGTAGTCTCTTACGCCAGAAATGACACTTGCCTCCACTTTCTCTCATCTTTGATCACCCCTCTCTCCTTTAACATGTTCTTCCCCCTAAGAAGCTTGTGCCATCCTTTTCCACCCAAAATCCCAGGTCATGGCTAAGAGCTGCCCCATGCCCTAGACCTCAGCTCAGTTTTTCAGCATCTGTCTAGAGAAAGGAGCCTATTTTCCTCCTCTCCGCCCTTGTTACTGCCACTGATCCGAACTGTCCATCTCCATCTACCTATCTAGGACTCCCTGCCCTTTCTGTAGCTGTGATTCAAAGGGTAGGGCATGCCTGTTTAACCGCTCAGCGCCACCGCTGCATTTCCCTTCATCCTCCGCGGCCTTAACAGTGATTCACTATGATTTTACACAAACTTAGAAACTGCAGAGTGTAAAAGTATGTATCCTCGTATTTTATTATAGTCTCAAAGACCTCGTGGAATTATGCTAGGGACACAGGGGATCTGATTGCACAGATTTAGGTAAGGAGCAAAATGCTCACCAGAAAAAAGTATTAACCAAGGAGATTAGACCCTGGCTAGCCAATCTGTAACTGCACATACGTGGAGCCATTAGTTATGTACACTTGTTTTATTCATAATTTGTCATGTTTGGGGTTACCAAAGTAATTCTAATGATGGTTGAATATAATAAAAAAAAAAATTTACCTCATCTTAAAACATCCACTGATCCATCTCATTCAGTACAATAGTCAATGTTAAAAAGAACATAAAACAAACATGCACACCATGGCACGGTTTTCATAAACGTCTATTTCATCATTGGTGGGTAGCACATTTAACAGTTAAATACATTTAAATAATGTATAGGTGGCTGCACGACACAGCACTGATAACTAGATAACCATCCAACTAGAAACCAGCCAACAGGTAATTGTCTAAATATTTAAAATACAGCTCTTGTTTAATCATCCTTTGATGTGATCACCTTCTGGGGGGGAAGGAGGAGCCTGCTGGTTGCATGGAAATATATTAAGGCCAAATCTTCTGATATCCGTTCCCAGAGGTTTCTTTCAACTGGATTAAGCCTCCAATTCCAAGGCAAGCCCAAGCTTGTGACCTCCAGCATTAAAGCTCTTCCCGTCTACCAGAGCAGACAGTGTAAGCTTCACACCTGTAGACAAAGCAAACCTCCATGATTGGGCCTGAAACCACTGAGCCCTGCCAGTGTCTTCCCTCAGCCTGCAGCTACCAGACTAATTCCAGCCAGCAGAGGGCATTCAGGTGATCCTGAGAACTCTGATGGTAAATGCACAAAGTGTTCTAAAAGCCAATCACTATACCATCCAGACTAAACAACACTGGTGAGAGCAGGCCATAGTAACTGAACTAGAGAAAAGTGGGAAACTACACAGTAAGTAAATTAATGCTAAGCTAAGAAGGTAAGTATGTATCAGTAACTGGCCCCTTTAGTGGCCAGGCAGATCTCTGTGAGTTCGAGGCCAGCCTGGTCTACAAATTGAGTCCAGGACAATCAGGGCTACCCAGAGAAATCCTGTATTGGAAAACCAAAATAGATAGATGATAGATTAGATTAGATTAGATTAGATTAGATTAGATTAGATAAGAAAGAAAGAAAGAAAGAAAGAAAGAAAGAAAGAAAGAAAGAAAGAAAGAAAGAAAGAAAAAAAGAAAGAAAGAAAGAAAGAAAGAAAGAATACAATTTAGGTGTGGGAAGCAGGGTCCCCATTAGGAATGTGGGGCTGCCAGTGCTTTAGGACCTTGTTGCTTAACAACTGTTCTAAGCAGCTATGGGGTCTAGAGCCCATTAGAAACACAGACCTCTCCAGCTCAGGCCTACTGGTTGCGAATCTGCATATGACCCAGACACTCCCAGTTTGACATTGCTCTGTATCCACCACCTGAAGGGGACTGCAGAGACAGACCAACCAAAGCACACTGACTGACAATATTTAGACACCAGCGGGGAACTACATAATGGTTAAATGATGAGAGGTGGGGCTTTTTAGAGTGGCGGCAGCTCTGCCTATTCGGAGCAGCCACTCGCTCTAAGGAGTGAGGGGTAAGGAGTTATCAGTCATAACCTGCAGCTTCCCAGGAGAGGTGTATCAATCCCACTACAGGCTTGAAAGGTTCACAAAATAACAAACTAAAAAAATTTTTTGAAAGTAATGTAACAATGGGGCTGGAGATAAAGAGCGGTAGCTAAGTGCACTGAGTGCTCTTCCGAAGGTCTAGGTTCAATTCCCAGCACCCATATGGCAGCTCACACCCATCTGTATATATATAATCCCATGGTACCATATGCCCTCTTCCAGCGTGCAAATATACAAGCAGACAAAAACCACACACTTAAATAAATGAACCTTTTTTAAAAGGAGGGGGGCTCTACAGGCAATCCTACTTTATTAACAATACTTACCAGGCCTCAGAGTCTGAGTATAGCCCACTCCAATTAAACTAGAGTTGTTGACCTTTGCCTAGAAAAGAGAGAGAAAAACATTTCTGAATGAAGACAGAACTCTTGGGTATTCCCATCCTGGAACTATGGGGCCTGTGGCTTTAACTCAATGGGATCCTAAAATATATACTGTATATTAAGCAAACAGCAAATGCCACTTAAGAACTGGACATTAACTCAAAAGCAAATTGTCAATCAGGCTCAACAAAACGCTTTACTACCCTTAGGATGTGTACACAGACCCCACATGATCCACACAGCATTAAAAAATGACTCAAAAAAACTCACCCTTATGAAACTCACAAAAGCAAGTTAATATTTATTTAGCTGATGCTGCCTACCAGACTCAATAGAGGTGAGAACCGTCTCTGACATGCAAGGAGTTTATAAGCTCATGGCTTAGACCCACACATTACTACTTCCAGGGTTCTTCCTCAAACCCTCACAATTTAGTCCCTTTCTCACATTCTTACCTCTAAGCTGCTGGATTTTGGCTTAGAGGTAAGAATGTGAGGAAGGGACTAAATTGAAGGGCCTGATGAGGCTCAAACGGAGCATGATTTATCAATTTCTTATATACCTAACAATTTAGGATTTAGGTTACAGAGCTCAAGAGCCCAGAAGAATGCTGGAGAGCAAATATGTTAACCCGGAGCTCCTTCTAGCACCAGCCTCTACTACCCTGACGTTGTTGCCTACAAATCTGTTGGGCCACATTCACGGCTGCACAGGACACATGCACCCTGCAGGTCACAGGATGAATATGCCTAGGAAAACAAAAAAGGCACTTCACCCAGCTCCAGAGCCTAGTCAAGCAACTAGGCTCTTCAGCATCCTGGGGCTCCAGGATAAAGATGCCAGCTTGCTGTGAGAACAGATCTGGAAGGATCCAGTGACTCTATTCTTGTGTGCAACATCAAAACACAATCTAGATAAAGCCACTGCTTCTGGTGCTACTCCAGTGAGCATCAACAGCTCTACTGGGGGAGGGAGGGGATGCTCTGTGTTTCCACAATGGCTGTCAGCAGTCTCCCACTGACATAGGTCCCAAGCCACCTTCCCACGGAGACTGGTAGCTGAATGGTGTTTCTGCTGGTGGGCATGCAGTCTGTTACGGTGCCACAAGCATACATCTGAAGAGAGCATTAATGTAAAAGAGAACCAGGGTTGGACAGAGTGTGTTCCTAGTACGGTTAAACACAGGAGCAAGTAAATGCATCACTGACTGGTCAGAGAGAAAAGCACTGGACACTTTTCACACTATCTCTGATTACAAATGTTTTAACATAAAGCAAACATCAGGCTAAAACATAACTGCTTAAGGTATCAAAACACACTGTCCTTGGGGATCAAGAGTACTTTATGCAACTAAAGTAACTCTCCTGAACTGTTTAACTTCTGGTCATCCCAGTACACACAGTACTGACAGCCCACACAGTAACAGCTGCTGATCCACCACAAAACAGAAGCCAATTCCTGCCCCTCACAGCACACTCTCTTCTACCTCAAGGCACTATGACTTAAGACATAAACAGGAAAAAGAGCCAAGAATCAGACAAGAGTGGCCAACCACCTCACTTTGCCCTTGCAAGAGGGTTTGGAGTAAGTCCAGGGGTGCAGGCTTCCAGGCAACAGTCCAGTAAGTTGTTCTACTCAACCTAGGCAGGATTAAAAATCAAAGTCCTGGCTTTACTCCCCACCCCACCAACATCACCAGTAATTATTCAGTTCCTTTCTTTGCCAAACACCAGTCTCTTCACCTGTAAAGATGTTGTCAGACCAGTGACCTCTCAGGTAAAATCTGAAGATATTTCATAAACCATAAAAAGATAAAGTCAAATAAAGTACTTCCCAACACAAATATTAAGCAACCAGGGCTCCAAATTTAGGAGCTTAGGCAGGCTAGGGGGCTTGGATATTAGCAAAACTAATTCAAAGCTCTCAAAGGGAGGTGAACATCTGTGATTTTCTATTGTTGTGAAAAGACAGCATACAGGTGACTTATAAAGAAAGCATTTAATTCGGGGGTCCTGGTTCCAGAGCGTATGTCCATGACCATCATGGTGGGAAGCCTGGCAGCAGGCAGGGCACTTAAGAAGTAGCTGAGCTTACATCTGATCCACAAGCATGAGTCAGAGAAAGCTAGCTGGGAATGGCTGGGCTTCTGAAGCGGAAAGCCTGCCTCAAGTTAGACACTTCCTCCAACAAGGCCACACCTCTTAATCCATCTCACCTCGTGTGGACAGATTAGCCTGCGGCAGCCATTCTCATCCAGAGCACCAGTGAGCCAGCTTCAAAGTCAAACCTCTATCACAATTCCCATAGGAAGGAAGAGCAGCACTCCAATTCCACTCCCAGGACATCTGTCAACATGGACCATGAATCCCAGGCAAGCTTTCCACACCATCTAATACACTCACAGTAATTCCCACAACCAAAACCTCCGATGAAGCCAAGGTACTCACAGAAATGGAAGCAGTAGGATCCAACTGGTATTTAGCTGCAATGCCAAAACGAGTGCAGTTGGTACCTGATGTCCAAGCAAGGTTTACTGAAGTGTCAAAATCTTCACATACTTTCTGATAAATTGATCCTCCAAATTCTGTCCCATTATTGCTATAAGATATTTTGAATTAGAATCTAGAATAGACAATGTAACCACTTCTAAGGCACAGGGTAATATTAGCAGGTCTAAGCCACTACTAGAACTGAGCAGGTAACATGGTGGTAGAAGGCCTATGCAAGAGGCCTTGATTCATTCCCCAGGGTGGGGACGCATAGCATCACTCATGGAGGTCTATAACGTTCTCCTGAAAACTGCCAAGTCCTTTCTGGTACGGTTGAGACGGGGTGAGTCTTATTCTATATCCCAGACTACACCCATTCACGGCAATCCTTTTGTCTCAGCTTCATTTTTCTAAAGACAAGGTCTCTTTACGTAGACCTGCTGTCCTGAACTCACTGTAGGGCAGGCTGGCCTCAAACTCAGAGATCCTTCTGCCTGTTTTCTGAATGCTAGGGTTAAAGGTGCAACACACACACACTAAAAGCAGGGGTTGTGGTCAATGATAACATACTGCCTATCCTGGATGAATCCTGGGATTCAACTTCCAGCAGCACCACACACACACACATACACAACAAAAGTGAACATCAAATTACAAATAAAGATCATGTATCTAGGTCGTGAGTTTCAGATCATGCAGGGCCACACATGTTATCTAGGACCAGAGAGATGACTTACTGGGTCTTAGAGCCCTTGCCAACAAGCCTGAGAACCTGGGTTCATCCCTGGGATACTCAGTTTTCCACCATATATGTGCCATAACAGCTAAATACATGGATCTACCTGGTAGGATTATGGGCAATGGTTTTTGTGCTTCTGTTATTTACTAATATACTGTTTTTGAGAAAGGAGCTCACTATGTAGCTCTGGCCAGCCTAAACTCACTATGTGGACTAAGATGGCCTCATTCTCAAAAAGATACAGCTGCCTCTGCCTCCTAAATACTAGGATTACAGGTGTGAGACACTACAACCCACCAAGCACTGTAATCACAGATGTTAAGACAATCTTATCACCCACGACCCCACAGGTCATGGTGTCAGAGAAGGCACTGGAAGCACTGCCAAGTCGAACACCTCTTCTAAAGGTACAAAACATCTCAAGCCCAACAACAGCAACATTCACTCTCAGTAGCCACTATGTGATGTACACACACACACACACACGCATGCTTCTGAGGAGCACCTTAGGCTCACCCATGTCAACAGAAGTCCCTCAAATTAAAAAGAGCAAAAGAAATGACAACACACACCATCCTCCGAGGGCCTGTGCCTCAAAAGCCCACAAAGAAACACTTACACATTTGTGTGTAACTGGAAGTCCCCAGTCCTGTAGCCTACTGCGAAGTTACTCCTTGTCAGCTTTGACTTGGCACTGTCAAAGGTCATCTGGTACCCAGCAAGCCAGCCCTCGTAACCAAAGACGGCTGACCCATGGATTGCAGGTCCAGCAAAATCAAAGTCAACATCACAGCCAAGGTTTATACATTCCCTCTTGTACGCAGACTTGATTTTACCACTTTTCTTTCTGGGGGGGGGAAAAAAGACTGATTTGATACTGATACTGGTGACAAAGATTTATACATGTAATGCTACATGGTACAAATGAAAAAGATTTAAACAAACTGCTGAGCCAGGCACAGTGGTGCATGTGAGTGACCTCCTGAAACAAAGCTGCTCCTTTCCTAAGCAGACAAGGAGGCCTTTAAGTTCAATGCACATAAAAACATAAAACCTAACAAAGCACATAAAAACTTACCCTGTGTTCGGTGAAAAGGTAGTATCAAATGTCAGTTTTAAACCTTGACAAATCTATTTTAGGAGAAAAAAGAATTTATGTTCAGGGTTATTTCCTTTTTGAAATATGAAAATAAAGAGTAATACAAAACCAAGTCTGTGAAACATTACCTGGTCTTCAATTGCAATCTCTGTCCCCAGAGTGTTATCGGTGTTCCATCTCTCTGTGAAGGTCAGACCATACTCACACCATTTGTATTTGGTCTCCAAGGTTCCACTAACTTTACCAGTGTCTGTATTAGAAGAGCCGGATGTTGAAAATTCCTGACAAGACAATCAACAGCTCCATGAGCCTTCTCCTAAGCCTGAAGAATCCACTGCCTTGCTTCTACAACACTTAACGCTTTACACTGAGATTACTTCCTAAGCAAACACAACGAGGACAAACTGGCCTCTGACCAACTGACTGCCCCTAGAATAATGTCCCCTTACATTTCTAACTAAGCAATAAAGAGTACACACACAGGGCTGGTAAAACGGCTCACTTGGTACAAAGGCTTGCTGCAGAGCCTGATAATTCTCTAAAACCCAATGGTGGAAAGAGAGAACTGAGCCCAGTCAGTCGTCCTCTAACCT